TCAATTTTGTTGATTGGGTTGTGAATTTGAATGTTTCTCCTTTTAGTTCTTTAAATTTTGAGGCTAGTAGAGGGAAACACGGAATGGTTAAAAACCACACACACACACACACACATTGTCAATACAAAATAAGGCGGGAAAGAAGGAAAAGACCCTCAGAACAGGTGGGACAAACGTGAAACACAAAATAAGGTGGTATGTTCAAAGCTGAATATATCAGAAATTATATTACATTTAAATGTATTAAGGGCTCCCAGCAAAGAATAAAATTTGTGAAGATGGATTAAGAAATAAAATCCAGCTTAGGCTGTTATAGGAGCCACATCTAAAATACAAAGGCACAAAAAGGTCAGGAGCAAGTATGGTCTACCAGTGCGCCAAGCTCCTTAAGAAGCAGTAAGTCATGGGGTGTCACAGGCAGCAAATCGTGGTCCCTGTACTCCCCCAATTCCAGCCTCCTTCCATCAAAACCCTCAGGGGTGGCTCTAGAGACAATGGGGAGTCCACTGGCATCTGAAGCCTCTTGGGGGACTCGGGGCTGGAGAGGGCAGATGGAGTTCTTGGTGGACCCCTAACGTGAGCTCGGTGGGAAGCAAGGGAAGTTCTGCACCTAGGTCGGCCGGGAGCCACTCCTCAGGATGGACGCAGGCAGACCCGGAGCCTTCTCTGCCCTCCACCTCCAGACCACTGGAACTCCCTTGAATTAAAAAAGTCCTTCAGTTTCTTTCATCAAAATGACCACACTTCCTCTTCAACACAACCCAGTGCAGTAGTTAAAGCAGATGGGCACAGTACCAAAGACCAAAATTACATGTAGACTTTTCACCAAATCATTGATTACAGGACTAGGGACCTACTTCCTGCAGGACAAGCGTAGCTGCAGACCATGGAACTTCTTACCATCCATTTTATTACTTATACTCCACATTCTTAAACATGTATTTGTATTTCTTCTATGTCCGATTGGATCTGAACCACCTAGTCAGGGCTGTCCTGAATATCCTCGTCTGCCACAAGCAGGCAAAGGCCAGAAGGAGGTAGCTGTGCCAGTGGCTTAGGTGACATGCCCAGTGCTGGGCAGCAGACAGGGACCCGTGTTGTCTCGCCAGCTGTGCCACTTAGAGGACGCAGAAGTGTGAGCACTTGACCCCGCTGTGTGCGTGCTCAATAGCACCTGCTGCATAAGGGTTGTGTGACGGCTATTTGCAAAGCCAACAGGCAGAACCACCTTCATGTGCCACATAAAGGTATGTGGTGGGCTGTTCCCATGGACCCCCCACCCCTGACCTTCCCCTGCTTAGAAGGGGTTCAGGGAGAATGGGAGGCCAGCCCAGGAGGATGGCAGCAGAAGGCCTGAGGCCAGGTGGGCAGAACTCCCCTCCTCGTGGCCAGGCCACACACACAGGGAGGTTTCTTAACTCCTCTGGAGACCTGCGCCCCAGCACTATTGGCTCTGAACCGTGTCCAGCACCGCTCCCTGCACATCCTAAACAGGAGCTGGATGCATCTTTCCGAGTTCTTCAGGAGTGGAGAGCCTAGAACTTTCACTTCTTTATTCCCTACCAAGCACCGCTATGAGCAAAGAGACTGATTATTTTAAACATCCTACATACAGGATCTTATACACGTTAGTTTCCACACTTACCCTGATCCAGAAAACACTCTAACACCCCACTTTGTGACAGCTCATCTGTCCCTGGCCAATTCACCATGCCAGCGCCTGCTCCTTCCCTGGGGCAGTGCAGAGCAAGGTGGCCACCCAGCCCTTGCCCAGCTGAGGGGTACTCAGCTGTTTGTCTCCACTGCCCCTGATGTTAGTGACACAGGGATCAAAACAGCCACAGGTGCTGCTCACACAGTCACCGTGGACAAGGCCTGGCCTGGCCTGGGCTCCAGCACTGGCTCCTCGGGGCCTTATGGCAGAGCCAGCTGTGCCAGCCCATGCCAGGCTGGTCCTTCCCAGGCAGCACATGTAGACACAGTTCCGGAAGATTCCCCAGACTAAGTAATCCAGGTGGGAACACAAGCCTGGACTCTGGCCTGGGGACGAGGATGAGGTGAGTAGACAGGTGGGCTGGATCCAGCAAGCACCTTCTGAGGGGACTGACAGCAGGCACATCCCAGCCACCGAAGACAGGCCCAGCGACAGCTAGGCATGCCTTCTCCCAAGACAAACACAAGACTGGCCCAGCCCCCAAACCTTCCCCACAGCAAATTTATATGTTGAAGTCTGATTAGGACTTCAGAATGTGACCTCATGTGGAGACGGGGTCTTTGCAGAGGTATCAAATTCAAAGTGAATTCATCAGGGTGGGACCCAATCCAATCCACCTGGTGTCCTGATAGAAGGGGGAAATCGAGATGGACGCATAGAAGACGCTGTGCAAACACTAAGAAGGCCCGGGCCATTGACAGCCCAGAAGAGGCCTGGGACAGACCCACCCTCACAGCCCAAAGGACCAACCCTGACCACACCTGGATTTTGGACTTCCAGCCTCTAGAACTGAGAAAGAGTGCCTGCTGCTTAAGCCACCCAGTTAGTGGCACATCACATGGCAGCCCCAGGAGAAACGACGTGTATAACTTTCCCAAGGCATCCTTTGGGAATCCTGCTCCCCAGCCTCACTGGCACGCTGCTGACTTCTCTTGAGGGCGGCTGGGGGGAGGCAGCAGGCGCCAATTCGTCCCCACTGTGCTGGTGGCACAATCCAACCAGCCACACCCCAGTGTGGGCCCCACCTAGCCCCTTTCTATAGGAGCCAAGAAACTTTCCTCGGCAACTAACTTCTTTAATTTAGGTTCCCTGGGTCACTCTGAGATGGCCCCACCAGGCACTTGAAGTGGGGATGAGTCTGCACATGCCACCAAGGGGCAGAGTTCTCCCAAAATGAAATCTGTGCCAGCAGTTATTCCAGAAAGCCGAGAGCCCAGCCCTTCACAGGGCTGAGACCAGGAGCGGCAGGTGGTTAGAAAGAGGGGTTCTCGGGGCCACTCTGCAGCTGCACAGAGCACTGTGTTTGCATGGTGTGCACATGTGCACACTACCCATCTGAGAGCTTCGGTGGTTCCAGTGGGAAGGACAGGATGGGGAGGTACATGTGATTGAACCTGAGCCAAGAAAGCCAGAGGCGTGGCTGAGGAATGCACCCCACACAGTGGCCGCCTGAGCAAACACCATCTGGGGGTCTTGCCTGCCGTCAGGGCAAAGGGCAGAACTCCAGCAATGGAAGGGTCAGTGGAGCAGGTGGGGAGGGAGCTGGCCCCTGCAACAGGATGGCCTGGGTGGGGCCAAGGGGCATTGGGGCCACTCCTGCATCCTGCTGAAGAATGAGGCTAATGGGCCCCCCACCTCGGGTCCCTGTGTTCACCAGCCCAGAGTCCTTCTTGAAAAGCTCTCTGGACTCCTCCCAGCAGGCTGTTGGGCTCCTTGGGCTGGTCTGGGTTTCCAGCTTGTGCTGCTCCTGCAGCCAATGGATCTGTGTCTGCACTGGCTGCAGGAGGAGAGGCCATCTGGGGGGGTAAGGCAGCAGGCACTGAAGGAGAAACGGGGCTCTGGTGGCCCCCAGTGTGTCCGAAGGGAGGGTATACAGTCAGCACAGCCTGGCAGCTGGGTGCTGAGGAGGGAGGCTGCTGGGAAGGGCTGCAGTTGGGCCCAGAAATTTCTGCCGGGGGAGGATCTGAAGGCAGCTGAGGCATCAGGTGACCCCTCCCTCTAGACAGTCCTGGGGGGTCACCAGCCCTGCAGCCTTCCACCTGGCCCCGGAGGATCTTTGGTTTAGGCCTCGTGGGGCCCTTCTGTCTCCAGTAGGGCAGGTATCTGTGACCAGGGCCATTGGCCCAGCGAGGTCCCCGGGGGAGGGTCCAAGACCAGGAAGTCTGGCCCTTCTGCCCAGGGCCCCGTGGGCGCCTCCCCAGCCGATCCACATGGGTCCTCATGGTGGCCACTTCCTGGGCCAGGCCTGCCAGGGTCACGGCCAGCCGATCCAGCTTCTCTGCAAGGGCAGCACCAAGGCTGTGCAGCTCCTGTCGCAGGGGCTTCCCGCAGGGGCATGGTGGCGGTAGGGAGGTGGCTGATGAGGCAGGAGAGACAGCAGCAGGAGGGGGCAGCTCCAGCAGGAGAGACTTGCTGGGTGGCTCAGGTAGGGCCCTGGGGAGCAGCCTTCTATGGGTCCTGGCTAAAATCAGAGCAAGAACAGGTAAGAGTTCTTGGGCTGTGAAGACCTTTTCTATCCCCCTCCAGGTCCCCTGAACTAGGATGTTTGGCATCCCGCCCCTCTAAGGCCTGGCTGCTAGAAGGGATGGAAGGGGACTCCAGCTTGAGAAGACTGGTGCCAATGCTTATTACATCAAAGTCGGCCACCTCTCCTGGCTGATGCTCAAACTGGTGGGCAGGATCAACCAGACTGGGTTTCCATGGTAACCAAGCTTTCCTACAACAGTGGTCTTCCTGCCTTCTAGGAAAAGAAATCAATGGGTTCTTTGTGTTGCTGTTGGGACCAAATGGCTGCCCACAGCACCTAACCCTGCCCTGGCATCAGTGAGAAGGGCCCAGGGCAGCCCCCCAGATAACATGAGGCCAAGGTCATGGGGGAGCGTCTGAGAGGTGCTCCAGGAAGGCCAGTGCACCTGAGCCTCCCAGGCATTTCCCATCAGGTGACCTCAGGGCCACTTCAGTACCCAGGGCTCTTGGTCATAAGCAAACCACAAGGGTTCTCACCCCCTCCTGCCTTTACTTTCTATTCAGAAGTTACAGAGTCATAGGATTCTAAGTCTAAAATTTCTTTTAAAAAATCACCTAATCCTTCACCCCAAATTCCCTGGAACTGGTCTCCACCCCAGGCAAACCTCACAAGACAGCCCTGGCACAGCACTTGCCAGCCTTAACCTGCTCAGCCCAACCAGGCACGGAGATCTGCCCCCCCCACCACCATTCCTCTAAGCCCCCAGCCTCAGCTCTGCCCTTTCCTCCTCAGCACTTCTAGGGCTTCAAACAGAAGGAAAAGTCCAGACTGGAGTGGCCACAGGACCCAAGCATTGTCTGGTCAAGTTCTGTAAGCCGGGCTCTGAGCTAAGCCTGGAGGCACAGGCCCACGGGCTTCTAACTGAGGGACAGGTGAGGCTCAGCCACCCTAGGCCAGCTCAGAGCTCCTAACAAAACTGCTGTGCCCGGAAAGGAGCTATAGCTCTGAGTTAGTGAGAGAACCCCCACCACAGGCCACACTTCATGTCCCTGGTGGGACCATCCCACAGTGATCCAGGAGACTGGGTGCCATGTTCTCCTGCCTTCCCCCAATGTGGCTCCTCAGAGGCAGGAAGTGTGACACGGAGCCAAATCTCTCTGGATGATGGGCTGGGTCACGTGGCAGTACTGTGCCTCAGTTTCCTTGTCTGTTCTCTAAAGTCCCCTCATACCCCAAACTTTGATTCTGGTACATTTCTCAATTTCTGCCTCTAAAAGGTATGCCTGTGTGCTTTTATGAAGATCCCGACACTGAAACAAAATCTGTAACCTGAAGTGGCCGAAAGGTGAGACTTTTCTTACCCATTACCCAAACAATGAACCCAGAAGGGTGTCCCCCAAGCTGGGATCCTGGGTCTTGGCCCGCACAGAGGTGATGGGAAAGCCACCAGTTTACCTGCAACACTGGGCCTTCTGTGCCCAGGCTCCAGACCCTCGGGTTCTTCACCAGCCCTTGGCCTTTTCTCCAGCTGAGAAGCAGGGCCAGGATCCTTAGGCACCCCTGCGGAAAGAGCACAGAGTGCTTGGGATGGTGACACATACAGTGTTGCCAGAGCCATTCTGACAGGGGGATTTTCTCATGTGGCCTAAACTTTCAACTTTCAAACAATGATTAATTGGGATGTGAGATGATCACTGGGCCTGTCAGGGAGTCTAACTCTGGTCAAGTGGCCAGTGGCACGTGTGGGGACTTCGGTGTGTTTGGTGTGCAGGCCCCGTCTGCAGGGTGCGGGTGTACTAGAGTCCTCTGCAGCTCCACCTGGGAGCACAGGTGGAGACGACTCTAACCTAGGGGTCTGCCCCCAGCGAGACTCCTCCAAGGACGTGCTGGGGGCATCACGGGGTCCACGCCGAGCTCACCTCATCATTTTCCTCTAGCCCACTGGGCAGTGAGGAATGTGGTACAGTCCAGGGCCTGCATAAGGTGGAGGCCAAGGCCTGCGAATGGAGCCACGGCAGGAAGGCGGGTGAGCTCCCTCCTCCGGTCTCCCAGCCCTACCTCCGCCTCCTGTGGCACTGCCCAGGGGGCCAGGGTGGCAGCTGCTCTCCACGCTTTCTTCTTTCCCAGGCAACTGGGACCTGCTTCCCAGACTCTCTTCTGCCTGTCCTGCTAGGAGCAAACACTGGGTCACAGCTCAGATGGAGGAGACAGAAGGCCTGGGGCCGCAGGTGGTGTTTCCAGCCTTCTTGATGCGACAACCTCAAAGAAGTCCTCCCAGGGGGGAAATCGCACTTTTGATACCATTTTGTTGACTGCTTGCCAAGTTTTAAAAATACTTATTATTATTGCATACGTACATGTATGTACTTATACGCTGAGCATATATAACATGTATATGTTACGTACATAACATATACACATTGTTAAGCGGGGTGCCGATTTTCTCACTGTAGACGCTCATGAGCACGTCTCCGGCCCTCTGCCCCTCAAGGGCCTGGCCTTTGCTCTGTGACGCAGCTCACCTGATGGGAACTACAAGACAAATGTGGAGGACTTTCTGGCAAGATGTAGGTAAAGTGATGGGAGGGATTCAGAGAACCCAGTCTGGACTCCTGGCTCTCTGGGGGACACGCGGCTGCCCCTCTCAGGAGACCCCATGCTCACCTGCACTGAGACTGCTGCAGTCCCTGTGCTCTGCTCTCCTGGGGTCTTCAGCATGGCTATTGCTCCTGCTGCTGCCAGTGGGGGGCCCACCAGAGCATGGGGACACAGGGCCAGGACTCTTGTAGCTGAGAAGGCGGTCCTTCTCTGGCATCAGAGCAGTGAATGGTGGCCTGGGGTGCAGCTCACTCTGGGGGAGAGGCTGCCAGAGCTCGGGCTCCAGCCTCAGGTCTTCTCCATCAGAGCTACTGAAGCTTGAGCTGGAGCCGGGGCTGGGGCTGGGACCGGGGCCAGCCACGAAGGAGAAGCGCAGCGGCCTCACGGGCAGGATCACCCTCAGAGAGCTCTCCAGGCAGTGTAGAGGGGAGGGTGTGGTGGCTGCCCCTGGGCAAACAAAAGCAGGAGAGCCCCTGTCCATCAGCCCAATGACAGCCGGGAAGACTTCCCTAATGACTCAGCCCACAACCCAACATGAGCTCTGGTGGACTCTGAACAGCTCACTCTGGCCATGGAAGGTGGAGAGAGAAGCGAAGGAAGGGCCTGGCCAGGTCCCCAGCCACTCTGGAAAGTCAGCTGGGGAACTTGCCTGAAGTCTCAAGTCCCTGGAAGCCACTCGAGGTCAGGTTAAGCCAGGCAGCCTATCCCACCCGGCAGGCACCATCCCTTCAACCCAGCACCATGCAGAGACCAGCAGTCCAAGAGCAGAGGTTCTGCAGGGCTAGTCCTGGCCTGGCGGGAGGGTTAGAAAAGCCCCATCTCCTCAGCTAAACCATCCCGCCTGCCACGCGGCAAGCCAGGAAGGAACACTGTGGAAGTCAGACTAAGCGCATCACTGGACCCCTCCAGCCCAGGTGGCTTCTCCGCTGGACAAACCCAACAGATGGACAAAGACAGCATTCTTCCTGCCCCTTTGTCAGCACCTCATGTCATTTTATCTGCTTCTTAGCATGCCTCAGCCTGTCTGGCTCCAGCTTCCATGTTTTGGGGAAAAGATGTGGGACAGGGCAGGGACAGAGGAAGAGTGAGAGAAGAGGATCTGTTTCCTTGTCAGGACAGAGCACATGGCAGCAAACACAGAGGGCAGGCGTCCACTCACCGTCTGGGAGCCACCTCCATGATCCCAGCCTGGGTGCTGCATGGTCTTGGAACCCCTGCTGGCGCTGGCGGCAGGCAGGGACAAAGCCAGCAGAGAACGCCTGTGGGCTGGCCAGAGGGAGGCTCCTGGGGGGCACTTCTGCCCTGCCCTGTCCAAGGTGAGGCGGCTCGCAGGCCTCGCCCCTCAGTCCTGTTTTAATGAGAAGCAATAGGCCGTGAGAAGTGGGGCCTGGTGCTGGCACAGGAGAATGGACAGAGGACAATTTCTACCACTGTCAGGCTCTCAGCATGCATGCTTCAGGTGGGAAACATCAGCCTGTGACTTTCCGAGGAGCAGTGGATGGTGGTGCTGGGGTGTGTCTGTCCTGCACCTTGCCCGCCGCCCAGCTGCAGGTGAGTGCCGAACAGACTATCAGCCTTTCTGGCTTCAAAGACACATCTCTGCCCAAGCTGTTTCCACAGCATGGTCTCTGCTAAGGTATGGATCTGGACCCGTGAGGGTGGCAGCGTTGGAGCTGCCCTGTCCCACTCCCAGGGACCTGTGGCAGCCACTGCGTTACCTTCCTTGTCTGCCACCCAGTTCCTGGGCTCTGCTCTCTTTGGTCCCCTGTCCACTGCTGAGCAGGACCAGGCAGACTGCAGCCTGGGCACAGGAATCTCTTTGAGACAGTTCTCTAGACTCTGGAGTGGGGAGCTTCCTGCTGGGCTTCCTGTGAAGATCACACATTTGCAGTCTTGAATGGTGGCAGCCCAGTCTCTGCACACCCCAGGAGCCTCCCCTCTTCTGCTGGGTCTGAGGCAGGAGGGGCCCTGAGAGGAGGAGCACAGAGCACCGGACAGAGACCTAGCCCCAAACATCTGTCACTTCTGGCTCTGGGGCGGCCCTGCTTGGGGTGCCCCAGCAGCAGCCTGACCTGTCTTGGCCACCTACACAGAAGCTTGGCCCAGGGGCTGTGATGGGGCGACTGGCCACATGTGTGGGTTCTAGGCTTCCTCAGTCCACCCAGCTGCCACCAATGTGAGTGAAGATGCTTCCCTAGCACCCGTGACAACCTTAAAGATGGAGTGTGTTAAGGATTCCCTCACCACCCAAAGAAGGGCAGCACCACAGGCCCCCCCGCCTCCAGGTATGACACAGCAGGCCACGGCAGGCCAACACGGACACAGCTCCAGCTAGGAAGAAGCCAAATATGTTGCAAAATCATCTTTCTAGGGACAGAGAACTGTGCAAGCAACAGGAACTAGATGAATTGAAACTCTAGGGAAGGAAGAGCCCTCCCTAGGTGAGCCGGCAGCGCTGGCCATCCTCTCTCTGGTAAGTGTCTGCTGATGGTTGGGCCCAGGCAGAGGGCCAAAGAGAGAAAGTGGCAAAACTTCTGGCTGCCATGTTGGGCGGAAGGGCAGAGCCTAACTAAAGGATCTGCAAATGTGTTTTCCCACACACAGGACATCCACGCGTTCTGGGTAACAGAGGGAGCTGGGGAGTGGGCTGGAAGCTTCTACAAGGCAGTGTGAAATCTCCTGCAGTTGGGGTTACTTAGAAAACAAAGTCATCGGCAGAGGACACATGAGAAAGATGCATGCTGCAGAACAAGAACGAAGCTGGGCTAGTGGCCAAGGGACATTTGGACAAAATGAAGAAGGATGTTAAGGACAAATGTTTAAGACAAAAGCAAAGTGAGGATGTGCCTAGAATGCTGCCATGTGTCACACGATTTTGTTTTCCCACATAACCTTCTGCAGCTTTTGAACAGAACTTTGTGATTATACTACCTATTAAAATCTAAAAATTAAAAGAAAATGCCCTTTGGAGCAGCTTAGGCCTGCTCCAGGGGCCCCATCAGCCTGGCCAAGGTCCCGGCTGCAGTTCGAGGCTTTTCCATTGACAACGACATGGCCAGGACAGAGGCGAGCACTGAGGGACCAGGTGTCCATGGGACAAGACGAGACCCACGGTACTTGGGTTATTCAGGTGGGGGAAAAAAAGAAGGCCAAGAGGGGACACTGGAGAGTCCTACAAAATCCCCAAGTCCCTGGGAATGACTCTACTCAAGGGATCCAGGGCAGGCACGGGCCACAAGTCACACTCTTTAAAGTGGTTTTATATGAACCTCAGTACATTTTTTCCTAAGTTGGAGGTCGGTTTGATATTACAGGCACCTCTTTGAGGCTGGGATAAGGAGGAATTTAATGCAAAAGGAGGTTTTTAAAGAGATCTTAGATAATGTCCTGACTCTTCTGAGCCAAATCACTAAAATGGACTTCCTCTCCTCCCCTCACCCCCTCCCAGGACAAGTCCTGCATCTGCTCTTGCCTCAGTATCCCCAGCTCAGCTGCTGGCACTGGGCAGGTAGCCAGATGGAGGGCACAGGCCTCGCATCCTTTCCCAGGAAGGACTCCCTGCCTCAGGCCCATGCAGCTCACCTTTTCCATTCCGCTGCCCCTCGCTCCCCCCAGGGCTCCTGAAATCCAGGTCCCCGTCAGTGCTGCTGGATGAAGATAAGCTGGCGGGGGTGCCTTGGGGGCCTGGGGGTCGGTCAGGGCCATCTCTTGCAAAGCCCTGCAGGCCCAGAGTCAGAAGAGGCTCCCTGGCCGCCTCTGTGGGGAAGAGCACAGTGGGGGGTCACAGGAGAGTCCCCTGGAGAAGAGATCTGGGGCCCTGGCGTGGACGGCACCAGGAGACCCTGCTGCAAGGTATCTCCCACTGGGGTTTCCCCATGGTGCTGGCTGAAATCCCACAGCATATCAACCCACATAAACCCCACAGTTAGTCTCATGTGACTGGAGAGAATGAGAGTCCTAAGAGAAGGAAGTGCGGCAAGAAGATTTTAACTGGCTTTTCCCAAACTTGGGGAACTATTTGGGGACAGGCTTGAAAGAGGGGTTGGGGGAGGAAAGGCAGGTGCCTCGGGAGGCTGGAGAAGACTTAACAGGGTCCTCGGCAGCTCTCTCAGCTGCTGTGCACAGGGACAAACACCACCCAAACCCACAGGCACAGTCTACCTTCAGTGTGTGATCCGTGGGGCCACAGCTCAGGCCTCTGAGGCCCAGGGTCTCCTGGATGGGGTCTCCGGGACCAAGAGGTAGCTGGCGGCTGGGGAGGTAATGACCCGCTCTGGGGAATGCCCTTCAGACAGGCCTCCAGTGCTTCCAGGGGTGAGCTTGAGGCACTGCCAGCTGGGATAGGAGAGACCACCTGTCACTTTTTCTCGCACATCCCTGGCCCTGCCCATCAGACCCCAGCTTGGCTCCAGGCTGGCTGCTCCCAGCATGCTTTCGGCAGGGGTGACAAGTCCTGCACCAGGCTCTGGGGAGCCAGGTAGGCAGGAAACCCTTCTGTGGGGAACTTTTGATCTGCTCTCTGCTCCTCCAGAAATAATGAAGAGCACTGTCCCCAGCCTCAGGGAAGGGTGCGGGGAGGTCCACATGCATGTAGAGGCCTCTTCCTCAGCCAGGAAATCACTGCAAAGTGAAGGCCCTTCACATGGGGATGTGTGGGCAAGGGCCTGGGTTGAGAAGGGAGGACGTGGCTAAGGGACCCACTACTTAGGAAGAGAGGCCAGGGGATGGCCTCCCTTCCCGAGAGACAGAGGTGCCTTTTCCCTGTGTCTGGTGGAACCTTTGTCTGGAGGCTGAGAACCCCACCCAGAAAGACTGGAGCAGAGGAGCCCAGATCTCACCTGGAGGCACAGGGCTCCAACTGGGCACTTGGACCCCTCTGGTGGCAGAGGGGCCATGGGTGTGCCTGATGAACTGACATGACACAGGCCCTGGGGGGCTCTGGGCCCAGCCATTCTCCATCTTCACCACAGGGAGCATGCTGCCAGCTCCAGGAACAGGGCAGGGAGGAAGGGTCTGGAGGTGTCCAGGCCCTGTGGAAAGGAGGCCACTGGGAAGCCCATAATTCAGGCCTGGACTCACCCAGACAGTCCTGTGAGGCCTTTATAGGGTTAGGGGGCTTTCGAGGCCCTTCTGCCTCCATGACAGTCACCAGCCCCAGGTACAGTTTCTTCTCCATCACCAGCAGACAGACCAAAATCACACTTCTCCTTCTGCCCCAGGCTCCTCTGGGGTGCCTCTGGAGGTTTCTACCAAGGCATTAAGTCAGCCCTCCCTGGTCAGTACCAGATCAGATCTTCTCCATGGCCAGCATGCCTGGCTCAACCCAACTCTCAAATAAGGACTAGTGAGCTGACATGCAGGGAAATGTGAACCCAGCCCAAACCCACACGATGGGAACCCTAAATCCAGTTACTCCAACTCAGCCCAAACACACACAATGGGAACCCCAAATCCCGCTTATTCCAATCAAGTCCAAACACACATGATGGGAACCCCAAATCCCAGTTAATCCAACCCAGCCCAAACATACACAATGGGAACCCCAAATCCTGCTTATTCCAATCAAGCCCAAACACACATGATGGGAACCCCAAATCCCAGTTAATCCAACCCAGCCCAAACATACATGATGGGAACCCCAAATCCCACTTATTCTAACCCAGCCCAAACACATGATGGGAACCCCAAATCCCAGTATGCCCTGAGTGGTTACTGGGCTGGAACTCTGTCTTCTAGCTCTTGGTCTCGTTCCCTCCCTACCATCCCTTCCTTCCTCTGGAATTTTCAGCTCCTACCATAAGAGCCAGTCTGGAAAAGTGTCAAGGACTGAGTAAGCACCTCCTACATGCCATGCTCCATTTACACAGTGATGACCCTCAGCATGTGGCTCCTCTGCCTGACACGCTGATGGGGGGTCCCGTGTGTTTACAAGAAGGTCAATACAGCCCTTCTTGGAGCAGGGAAAGGAAACAGTGATGTTGGGGCCCCTCCCAGCCCAGCAAGGGGACTTTACCTCCAAAATTCCTTTTCCAGGCCCCTTGGTCCTCCTGCAGCTTGGGGTCCCCTGCTCCTGAGGGGCTGGGATTCCCATCCTGGACCTCTGGGATCTCCTTTAGACAGTTCAGCAGACCCTGGAGGGGACAATCCCCTGACACTGCCTCTGTCTTCACTAAAGGAAAAAGGAGCATATTTCCACCGCGAGCTTTGGTCTTCATGACAAACAACAAATAAGGGACAATCCAGTTGTGCAGTTAAAGGGGCACAGTGCCAGAAATCTGGAGCTGGAGGTCTTCTCGTAAATCACTGGGTCTTGTAGGATCCTGTCTCTTGGCACCCAGAACGCCTGTCTACTCCCCTCCCAGGACCGCACAGACAGAGGAGGAAGACAGGAAAGGGGCCCTGAGGGCACACACATGGCATAACTCTGAGAACAAACTGAAGGCAGCAGTGGCGGGTGGCTGCTCACAGATAGCTCTCTGGGCCCTGAGAGGAACTAGCATCTGAGGAGGACCAAGCTTTTCAGGCACACACATCCATATGCATGCACACAGCAAGTACATCACTGCAGTCAGGCTCGCTGCAGCTGTGTGAGGTTGCAGCGATCACCTCCTTTTACAGAGAAGCAGCAAGGCTTGAACGCTGCAGCAGTCTCTCAGGGTCTGACTCTGAGACCAGTGCCCCACGCATGTCACCTAATACAACGTGAAGGGACACCCAGCCCTGCAGCTCCTCTCCTCATGGTCCCACATTAGCAAGCCGTAAAGTGCACAAAGGAAACCAAGGCGAAGTCTGTTTCTGAGTTTTCCTGTTCTAGCTAACCAAATGCTGTCCTTAGAGACCCATCTGGCTTCAGAAATACGACACTGGTGATACAGGAGCAGCCAAGTTGGTACTGATCCTTATAGGGGACACTTTGGAGCAAGAGAAATAGCTATAAAAAGGCAATCCAAACTTTCCAGGGGCTTCAGAGACCCTGGCCTGAGACCAGGTCCCTGGGGACTACTCACCTCCCGAGGGCAGGCTCCCAAGGCTCAACTCCACTCTGGTTGGCCTTGATGTACCCAGGCCGGGGAGATGGGGCAGTAAGTTTGGGGATGGCTCAGGGTGCTGGGGCCCAGGCACAAGGATTTCTTTCAGACAGTTGATGAGGCCTTGCAAGGGGCTGTTCCCAGGAGAGGTTCCTGTAGCACATGCAAGGTCAGCTGAGGTCAGCCAAGTCCTGACAGAGCAACCGTGAGACCTTCAGCAGACCCGAGTCTATGGGTGGCTGAGATTCCCACCCGTGAGAACAGAGACCAGGCCTGCCTGGCAGGGTTGCCACGAGGCCAGAGGGGAGAGCAACACGACCTCACGCGTGAACTCCACACGCCTCCCCATCACCACCCCACTCAGCTCCAGGGTGGGCCCCACTCCCAGGAGAGCCAGACTCTTACCTGTCTCCATCGTCCCTCTCTCCTGCCTTCTGTGGCTCTTTTTCCTTCCGGGGCTACAGGTGGGAGGACTGGGCTCCTCGCTGGGGGCTCTTGGGCCTTCTTGCCCTGTAGGCCGTGGTTTGTCAGCAGTTTCTGTTGCAAGACAGGAAGACCTTTTTAGCCTCGGATCCTGACTCTGGAAGATCACCCCTGAGCTGGTCCCCACACAGGACAGGCCTCTGTAGCTCCCCAAGTCCCTGGGGGGCAACCAAGTCCTGGGAACTTGGACTTGTGGTGGGGCAAGCTGCTGGATGATTTGGTCCAGGAGGGCTGGGGGCCTTTCCCTGTTTCCCTTTAGTTTCACTGTAAATACTCCTAGCCCCAGCCTCGAATTTGGCTCAGCAAGTAATGCCAGCAGCCACAACTACAAGCCACAATCTTATGCTCATGCTTCTCAACCAGGGCACATGGAGCCCTAGAGCAAATGTGCCAGATGGCACCTGAGACCACAGGCTACTAGGTATTTTGGGGGGGACTGCCAATTTTATTTCATATTAATTCAAAATATTTTTAATAAAAACAGATATTCAGACAAATGCAAATTCTGCAAGAATTTTTAAAAATAAAATGAGACCCCAGAGAAATTCTAGTGGCTACCATTGCCTCCTCTGAGATTAGAGTGGCTCTGATGAGGTCTGAGAATGAGAGCAGGTGTGCCAGGTCTGTTACCTGCCAATGGGCTTGCATGTGAGAGAGCACCCGAGGCTTGCTGTGTGTGTGCACACAGAGCTCAGCACTCAGGGCTGGCTGAGAAGCCACCTGAGGACCAGGCATCACACCTCCTCTTTGGTCTACAGACCAGAGGCTAAGCATGCTCCTTAGGGTGCTCTGTCCCCCTTTAGCAACAGAGGAAACTGAGTCCTAGGGAAAATGAAGAGAGCGCAGGGTCCAAGTCCCCTGATTCCAGGGTGGGAGCCCTGGAAATGCTGGTTCTCTGTCCCCACTGGGTCAAACTCACTGAGGGGAAGGGGGCTTCCCTGCTCCCCATCTCTATGTGGGCTGCTGGAGGATGAGCTGCTGGTGGGCGTGGTGGCCAGGTAGGGATGGCTGACGGGGGCATCCGGAAGGCAGCTAAGCAGGCCTCGAAGGGTGCAAGGTTCCACTGCCACAGCAGCTGTTGGGGAGCAGGGAGAAGACACTGACCACTGGTAAAATGCCCCTGTCATTGTCACAAGCTTGCCATGTTCTGCTAACAACAGCCAGGATGTCAGTAACCTGTACACTGTCATCACTGAGCTCTGAAACTTAGATTTCTAGCCGTGGTCATGTCCTGATGAAATATGAAGCAGCAGCTCTGAAGCCACATCCCCACCAACCCTGTGGCGTCCTCTACCTCCTGCCCCCACTTTCTATCTCATTCCCATCAACTGGGTGGGGCTGGATGGGACAGATGTACAGGGGAGGTGGGACCTGAACTGAGAGCAGCAAGTGAGCAGAGACAGGGGACAGGAAAGATGGTTGGGGAGGTGGAAAGAACACAGACCTGGGAGGGTAACATGGGTCCCCGCTGGCTACTCCAGCAAAGCACACCTCCCCTCTCTTTTGCAAAATGGTGACAAACACACTGCCCTCGCCTACCATGCAGGGCACAAGGGGACAGGGTGGGACTGCAAGGAGATGGCTTAAGCCATGCAGAAACCACCACGCAACAGTCAGGGCTGCTCTCTCCAACTCTGCCCCATGTTCTCAGAAGGTGGACACATGGCCCGGGGTGTCAGGAACTGCTGGTGACTCTACCTCCCTGTGTGTGCCTAGGTCAGGGACTGGGCAGGTACACTGCCATGGTGCCGTGGACTTGAACTTCATCTTGTGGAGTGCAGAGAAGGCTGTGTGTGCTGCAGAGGCCGCCCTGGCTGTCTAACTTACCCTCTGGGCTCGCTCTCTCCCCATCCAGGCCAGCCGCCCCACTCTCGGGGCTGTCCACAGCGCCCTTGCCTTCCCCGAACAAGAACTCTGGAATCTCCTTCACCAGCTGCACCAGGGCAGTGAGGTGCAGGCTGTGCCGGGGCTGTCCTCCTGCGGAGAGGCTGCAATGAACCCCATGTCCCTGTGGCTGCTTGGCACTCACACTCTGTGCACATCTGCACACCCAGCGTCTCATGTACTCTTCTGACTCACAGAAGGAGCAGCCAGAGGAGAGACCGATGTCCCCTGAGATACTGAGGACTTGGGCTCAGGCCAGGTGCTCTGCCCAAGGGCATGGCCATGGCGGGGCAGGGGTGGGGAGGCTTGGGCAACTGGATTCTTCTTCTACCCTCGACTACTCCTTACCTCTCTACTCCGGTCTCCTTTCCTTCAAGGGGAATGTCAAGTTGGTCAGCCTCCATCCTCCCCTCCCACTACCAGGGTCCTCTGCCCTTCCCGGAACCCCCCAAGCTCCAAGTCTAGGCCCTGTGGCCCACATCCACCAGCTGAGGTCTCAGATGTTAGCCTCATGGCAGGACTTTCAGGAGCTGCAGGCTGGCTCTGTAGGAGTGGCTGTAATGAGGCTTCAGAGTGGTGGCAGGAAGGGGGCTGGAGGCAGGGGGTGCTCTCCAGGGTTACCCCAGCTTTCTTCTGAGCACTTCTCCACTGAATGGACAACATGTAACAGGCTCCCAGCGCAGAGGGTTGAAGGTGAAGGTCAGGGAGGGTTGGGTTAGGGGCATGGCCAGGTGGGGAAGGCTGGACTGAGCAGGC